AAATTTCATTATATTTTAAGTTTTCCAAAAAAATTATAAATTATTAGATCTTTTGAAGAACAATTCTAAATTTGACAACACTTGTATATCCAACACAGAAAAACCGTTATATATGTATATGAACTATTCTTATGATTCTAATACATACATCTAAAGAGTAGTGGTAGCAAAACATCTCCCTGGAACCAATTGAAGTAATACAAGTGTTTTTTTAAGTTTTAAATTTAAGCTTCAAAGTTTCATTTCATAATAGTTTTACTAGACTCCCATTTTTTTAACTCCAACTACAAAACATAGAAATGTTTTTTTAATAAAAAGGCCATATAAAAAAAAAACAACAACAGCATACGTTATTTTAACATTTTTAATCAAAACCCTATTATTGCTTTTAAAATAACAAACTCAAGTTAAACTAATTTAAAATAATATAAATAAAATGAACATTATTATGAAAAAAATAAAAGAAAAACAAACACTTTAATTAAAAATAAACAAAAATATTTAATAATTTGCTAAATCGACTAAAAATAAACAAAGTGTAAATTATTAAAAATAAACAAATAAATTAACTATAGTATATTAGAAAAAAATCTATAATTTAAAATTTAAAGTTCTATAATTTAAATTTATTATTCCAGTAATAGGCGGCTATCACTATATTATATATTTAGATAGGTATGTAGATTTTGTATAGGAATTTTCTAAAAGCTAGTATGAACATTTAAAGCAGTGATCTATTATATGATGTTAATAGAAGTTGTCAAATACCAGTTTAAATTGTTTCAATAACAATATAACAATTATGAACAAAGTAAAAAGTCAAAATAAAAAAATAGACACAAGTATTTCATTTACCATTGCTTTAACAAATAGAATTTTTTTCAACTAGCTTTATATGTATATTCAATAGTTGTTTAAACAAATCTCTAAACAATTTAATTATCAATGTAAATAACAATAATAGAAACAATAAGTATAATACAAATAATATAATCTGAGCTTTGAACATTAAAATTGACGACCCAGAAAAATACTTTGCTTTCATCATTATCATATCAGTTGTCTGTAGTGTATGAGTATGTGTGTATAAATGCCAGGATTTCAATAAAGGTGTATATAAGTATTCTATACTATAGGTTTATACTTTAGGCCAGAAAATTAGGTATGTGCTGCTTCTAGTTTAGAGTAATCTAAAACAACTAATAGGTTCATTATCTTAATAATGGTTATTAATTGGTTATATTTGCTCTCTAAAACATAATTATAACAAATAACGTGTATTGCAATTTTTAACAGCAAAACTCTGAAACAATGAAAATATTGTATAAAAATACTAACTTCTATAACTAGTTGTACGTATAACTTAGGTGGCGTGTCATAATGTCCACTCTTATCCCGGATAGAATTTCTCGTAACTTATGGAAGTGTCATAACGTCTATGAACACCATGACACTGTATTTTATATAAACATTTAACAATAATAGAAATGTTTCATAATTACTATAAACAACTAAACCAATACACCTATTTATATGCTCACATGTTTATATAAATACACATACATATATCCAGCTAAAAATACAAGCAGAATATTCCCCATACATTTACATACTTGTTTTACAGTTCACTGACTATCACTATAGACATACATACTTAAACACACTCATACATACATATGCATACATATTCACCTGCAGACATAAAAACAAACCCATTACATTCACATTCAATTCACTAACGTGACACATTTTAATTTTTTCCCCTTTTTTACGATTTTGTCTCTTCGCTTTAACGTGTTGTTCGTTATAATTGAAAACATGAAATAAATACCATTTTTACAACAATGTGCCGCCGTTGCTACTGTTTCTGTTGCTGCTGCTGTTGTTAGTATTGTTGCTAATGTTATTATTTGTTACTATTGTTTTTGTTGTTACTGTTTTTATACACTCGTTAGTTGAGTTTAAATCAATGTAAATCTGTGTGTCTGTGTGTAAAAATCAGGTGCAACTGACACGTGCGTGTGTTTCTACTGTTTATATTTACATTTACAAAAACAACAACTACAAAAAAGCCTTAACATACATACATGCATATACGGTATTTGATAATAAAATTAAAAAACAAAAGCAACAACAGGAAATATGTAAAAAAATATGGAACACAAGACAAACAACAACAACAGCAGCAGCAACTAAACGAGAAAATAAACGACCCACTCTGTCAGACTGAATTCATTTAGTCTGCTATGAATATAGGCCTGTATTAATATGAGTCTGTTGAATTTATTTTCTTTTCATTTTTTTCAAAACACTACAGTTTTACTTATACATACATATGTAGTATGTATATTTATAAAAGGATTAAGGATAAGGGCATACCTATGAACAATTCGTTAAAATTTTAGGGTAAAGGAAGTTGTTTCTATTGTTAATTGTTAAGATAACCGTATAAAATACTTTTATTTTGCATGGGTTAAGGGTCTAAAACCAATTAAATATTTAAATGAAGTGTTAAATATATTGTTGCAATTAAAAATAATCGAAAATTGTATATGTATTAGTAAAGTAACCTTTTATTATCTTGCTGCTAGTTTGATAGAATTGTTCCAAATTTGAAACTGAATTTGATGCTGCCAAAATAATCTCTAAATTAAGAGGATTCTTAAAAAATTTTGGAAATTTTTTAAATAATAATAATCTTTAAATAATGAGAAATCATAAGAAAATTATTTAATATAATTTTTAGGCTCTTCTGCGGCCAATTCATTCAATTTTCAACTTCGAATTTTTATTTCATAGTTTTTTTGTCGATTGGTTATTAAAAATCTTTTTATACTCACCATCAAAAAAGATGGCGGTATATTGTTTTTGTCATTCCGTTTGTAACACATTGAAATATTCGTCTCAGACCCATATATATTATGGATCCGTATTAGATTCTAAGACGATCTAGCCATGTCGGTCTGTCTGTCTGTCTGTCTGTCTGTCTGTCTGTCTGTCTGTCTGTCCGTCTGTCTGTTGAAATACGATAGAGTCCAAATGGAAGCAGCTAGTGAGCTGAAATTTTGCATAGATACTTTTAGTTAATGTAGTTTGTTTGGTATTGAAAATGGGCAATATCGGTCTACTATTTCGCCAAGCTCCCATATAAGGCCCCCTTCAGAAAATGACTTTATCGCTCATAACTGGCAAAGAGAAGCATCTATAGCGGTGAAATTCGACACAAACATGTTTTATAGGAACTTAAATTTCTTTGTAAAATAGACCTTAACGCTCATTAAATTTCTATCAAATTTATTAAGGATGGGTCCATAAGGTCCCCATTAGAAAGTGATTTTAGGACCTTGTCCAAATATATCCCTGATGTTCATATAAATATCGACATATGATTCATAATAGATCAAATAAATGAGAAAATTGCTTCGATAATATCAAAGTTTATTAATAAGGATGATTTGATGTTGGGTATATAAGGTTCGCCATGGCTGAATATAACACTCTTACTTGTTAAATTTAATTTCTAAAATGATAACTACTTTTAAAATTAAAAATATGTACAATGAACAATCGACCATTTGCGCTCTGGTCTGTAAAAAGGGCTTAAAGTCTAAAGGACATACGATTTCAAAAGAAGAAATTCGAATTTTATATGAATTATCTGTCAATAATACTAGTGGTTAGTGTTCTAGTGTGGTAGACCGGAGATCATAGGTTCGATTCCCACCTGAGACACTGGTTAAAAAGCTCACAATATGCCCGTTGAAGGGTCCTTCCTTGTTATCTTTGAAATTAAATATTCCTCTGTCATACCAATGCGAAATTTCCCAAGAGATTTATTTAGAAAACATTTTGATTTCATTTCATAAAGCCATCCCGCTGAAACAGTTTCAATTTCTTTATGTCTATATTTATCTTAAGAACTTTATATACAAAAATTTATTAAAACACATAACTAAAATAAACGTAATATTATGGAAAGAAATATCTTTTTTGAAACTTAATATTAATAATACTCATACGTCAAGGAGTACTCTTATATGAATACAAGACGCATTTATTGCACCCATAAAAGTGCAGTTCAACAAGGCAAATAATTGATGTTAAAATAATACAAAGTTTTAATGCCGCACTTAAATATGTAACAGATTTAAGTGTACTTCCTTTAGCATACTCATGTGTGCACAAGTATCTTAGAGATACTGATGTGTCTTTTTAGATTGAAGTAGTAACTAAAGAAGGTATAAGAAAAAAATATAATATTCTTTACATTTGCATTTACATTTAGTAGTATAGAGAGGAATAAGTAATAAAATAACTAATTGCAATAACTAAATGCGAAAAAAGTCTAAATTTATTAATATTAAAATTAAGTTATTGGAAAGAATTTTTCAATATTTTTCCGATTAATTTTGAAAAGATAAGATTTATTTTAAAACTATAAACTCATAAATAACGGACATTTTTTATGACTAAAATTAAAGCTAATATTTTGCACACAATTATTAAATTTAAAAAAATTAAATATTTGTTTATATATTTTTTTCAGAAACATAAAGTCAGTGTAAATACAAAAACAGTAAAAAACAGTTTTTAAATATTTATTTTAAACATCTAAACAAAAACAAATTGTTATTAATTATTTAAAAATGGAACAGGCAATTATAAATATAATTAACAATAAAATGCAGACTATAACAAACGTAAAAAAACTAAGTTTTTTTAATAATTAAGAAACAAAAACAACACTGCCAATTTAATTAATTTAATATTAAATAATTAACAAACGCAACAAAATTATTATGAAATAGTGTTATTAACCCTTTTAAATAAAAGTAAACGTTATCGTAATAAACAAACTAGTTTAATTTAAGTTATTATTCAATTGGTTTTTATGGTTTATGGTGTTTTTATACTTAAATTATTAACAATTTTTTTTGAGACATAAAAGCAAATGCAAATAAGTGTTAGTTCTATTAAAACACTTGTCAACGTTTATTTAACAAAGTGTGGAAAACGTGCAACGTATAAGATTTTAAATATATAAAAAAACAAATAAAACAGCGTGGTGGCGGTTTGTTGCCTTGCCACATACCACAACAGCAGCAACAACAACAACAACTAAAATAATAAAAATAATAATAGTAACAACAACAGCAACTATAAAAGTAACAACAGCAACAAAATGCCTTTTGGATTAAGATTTTACACATTTCTATGGATAACGCTTTCAAACTCATGGCTACCATTCATGCCATTAAAACCATCAACGTTCTACTCAACGTCATCATCATCAGCGTCAGCACCATCAACATTATCCTCATCAAGTGGCATCTTTTACTATCACAATGCCTTGATGGGGGCTGAGGCACAACCATCATCATTAACCGAGAAAATTCCATTAGGTAAGTGAGAGCTGCTTTTTAAAGCAAGTGCTTAAGAACTATATGTATATAAATAAAAAAGGATATACACCATCACCACCACCACCACCATACAAAACCACTATCAGCTACATACTCTCTCACACACATATAATAACACAAAATAAATCTTAGCAAAACTGCTAAAATAAAAAAAGTAAAAACGAACAAACGAATGTATGAATGGTAAAAAAAAAAAACTAAATAAAACAAAGAATGTTTAGCGTTAGATACACAAGTCAGCCACTGGCTGAGTGGCATATGTGTGCCATTTTCAGTTTAATGTTTTTGTTTTTCTACTCTAGATTTTTACTTATTTCGGTTTCACTACTACAGCTACTGCTATTGGGTTTTTACACACAGAAAAATACCTAAAAGAAAACTAGAAATGAAACGGCAAAAAAACCGTTTACAATACAAACTTGAAATTGTGTTGACTGCTGCATATTCATACAACTACAACAACTATAAAGTTGCTGCTTTTTTGTTCTAACACTAAAAGTAGTGAAAATGTTTGTCGTCGTCACAGTATCACAGTTAAAATACATCCGCAAAGCCTGAATGCATACAAGCTCTCACATACTTTTACTCTTATACATTAAAAATAAACACTAACATATACTCATCACAGTTATCAAAATACAATACATTTGTATATAAGTATGAGTATCTGTATGGGGTCTATATGCATGTGAGAGAGTTTTAAACATGTATTTACTAACTAAACATTAAAACTGCCATAGTAAATGGCAAATGTTAGAGTTCTTTCGTTTTTTGTTTTTTTATTACTTATGGAGCGCTGTTCACCTTTAGCCACCATTAAAAGGAATAAATTTAAATATGTAGTTGTTAAAAAAGGAGGCTACAGTCAATGATAAAATGTGTGAGGACTAGCTCAAATTTATTAAACAAATACAAAACCGAGTTAAAAAAGAATTGCAAAAAATTTATTTAATTTAGTAAAATTTAAGGGTGAAATTTGTAAACAAAGGTATGCTACTGGTGGTATACGTAATATTTTTTAAACAAATATTAAGTATACGACTAGTAGCCTAGTTAATTTGCTTTTTGTTGTAGGTAAAAGAAAAACATTTTAAAATAACGGCCCGGTGAATCGTATTGGACATGAATTTTATCTGAATTTGATAATTTTAAAATTGATTGGACATTTAGATATAATTTCCTGGAGATAACGGAAGGAAGTTAATTGGTACCAGACTAGGAGGCATTTATGAATTTTGTTTAAAATAAGAAGTTTATATTTTTTATAAAATTTTATTTTTAAATCTTGAAAAAGTTTACTATTTAATGGCCATAATCTCAATCTCTAGTTATCATTTAACCGGTATGCATATTTGTAGTAATGATAATAAATTAGACCTAGTGACACAGTGTCCCGTAATGGTGTAAGTAGGGAAATACACTATATAACTGACAGCTGATTATATTGAACCACCTGGGTTGCAGTCGTAATTCCGGTCTGAGTTGAGAAGCAACTCTCGCGTCATGGCGATTTTTTTAAAGCGCGTTCAGGCTTGTGTTTGTTGCCTTGCTTTCGATAGATTCGCGTCTCGCTCGCACTGGTGTATTACTTCATATAATCGTTCAAAGTTGTGTGTTGTTTGCATTAACCGTGTGCGTTAGTATCACCTCGTAGTGAGGTTATGTTTGATTGGTGGAGACCATAGAATACTAAACCGTTTTCACCTTGGTAGAGACCATTAAACCTCAACTGTTTATACCCTAGTAGAGACCATTAAAACTCTTAAACTTTACTCAAATTTTACTTAAATGTTTAAAAGTTACCAGCTTTCTATATAAAGATATGTCTACTTGGTGGATTACCTTCAAACTAATGTGGGATACCCTGGCGTTTTATCTATGAGCTCAGCCATCATATTCAATAATAAGCCACCTGGGTTGGGCTTGTCTAATTTGCACGGAAAATACCATCAAAGTCGTAAATTTTCCCATCCCCTCTTATTGTGCCATTCTGGTTAGTTCTTCAGCTAAATACTTGCTATAACAGGAGATATTTAGATTTATAGAAATTTTATAAAAATGTATAAAAGCTTTATTAATTAATCTCTATTTATTTGGTTAGAAATTTTTTACGATATTTGTACCATATTGCAAAATTTTCAGACCTTACTATAAATAGTAACTTTTCAATGGTTTATAAAACAAGTTTCTATAAAGAACTTGTTCTATAAACTTTTGATAAATGATATGATTAGTATCCCATATATTTACATTCTAAATTCAAAATTAAATATCGAACACTTTTCGTAGATCAAATAAAACTTTAAATATTCCATTTAAGTTTTCATTATTTTCTCATCCTACTGTTAAAAACACACCCACATCAATGCAGTAGTAATTTTTAAAATAACTCTATATACATATGTCTCTAACTATGTATGTATTTGTATATGACCCAACTACAACCCTACAAAAAAACCAAATCCATACACACTCATACAAGTGCATCCACATTTTAAAGAAACATAAAATAAAACAATTTTTTATGCACATTCTCATACATACTAAAATACTCTATTGCCTGCTAAAACGGATGTATTATAAACGAGAGCTTTGGGAATACAGCAGGGCACACTATAGAGTAGACCTCTATATAAAAGAAAAACAAAAAAAGTTTATATACAGTTTGAAAACAGGCATTCTATATGCTGCACTACTGCAAGTTCATAAGCTATATTTATATATAAAAACTAACATATTTACACTTTTGTATATATGTTTATATAACATATGCCATATGTATTATTATTCATGTGTTTGGCTGTTTTTTGTAGTCCTTTTTCTTTCAAAAATTGCATTCACTGCATCAACACTTCTCATTTTATAGCTTGTTATAAAACAACATTAGCAAATTTAGAAAAATATATACAAAAACAACAATAACAACTGCTTTAAATATATAGCAAGCAACAGTATTCATATTAATATATGCACTACATATATAAATATATTGTATTAAATTCTAAATACACTTATACATACATATGTAACCAAAATACACATAAACATTGTTAACTGCTCGTTCTGCTGTTTTTAGTATAATTTTAAAGTGCATTTTAAGAACGTGACACAAATATTCCATGTACCAAAATAGGCTTACTTTAAAAAATACAAAGAAAATGCAAAAAATTGTTATTGTACAATTTTAGTTCAAGTTCTAATTTCTGCAAAAAAGACAACAATTTAGCTTTTATGTTTTATTGTAATAAGAGGGCAGGGCAAATACAAAAAGCATATAAAATTTTATTATGTAGATTTAAAATATTTTATTATCTTTTAGTTCTTTTTTTCTTAGTTTCTTACAAGAATTGTATTTTATTATTTAATATTTTATTCTGGCATTTACAACAACTCTCATGACCAACGCCACATAAATCTGTAGCAACAAAAAATTATTCATTTAATTTCATATAGATTTTATTGACCTGATTTATATTTTTTTACAAAAACTCAAGTGGGATTTTTTTGGTATAAAGAAATTTAGTTTTAATGGAAATTATATTATTTTCTATTTTCAATTGCACTTTAATTCAAAATAAAGATGAAGAGCAGCAGCAACAGAAATAAATGAAATCTATTATTTGCAAATCACCATCTTTGGAGAGTTTTGCTTAAGTTTGGGGTCATGTTGTTGGTAAATTGATATTTGTTGATTTCATTTAATTGAAAACTTTTGATTTAAGACATTAAACCTAATGGGAGTAAAAGGGGACATAATGATGATAAATTTTTATTATATAAAAGACAAAAAGAAGAATTTAATTTGTTGCATGTTATTTAAATTTGTATACCCTTTACCTACGTTGGAAGTATATATATAAGTTTGTCATTCCGTTTGTAATTTCCACAATATAATGTTTCGACCCTATAAAGTATATATATATATATATATATATATATATATATATATATATATTCTGGATCCTTATAGATTGCGGAGTCGATTAAGCCATGTCTGTCCGTCCGTCTCCATGTTTGTCTGTCCGTCAGTGTGTCTGTTGAAATCAGTTTTCTGAAGACTAGATATCTTCGGGATCCAAGTCTTCAATAATTCTGTCAGACATGCTTTCGAGATGTTTCCTATTTTAAATCAACAAAATCCATCTACAAATAACGGAGATATAAGAAAATATCCGAGACAATCTCTGAAAATTTCATGAAAAAACAGATAATATTTTGTATGCAGAAGCAAGAAACAACAACAACGCAGATATTGTGCTTCCTTGTATGTGAGTACGTTGTTGTTGCCCATAAACGAATGAAGGCAAAAACAACGTTTAGAATGTTTTTGTTGTTTTTCTTGTTTAACACAGTGTCGTGAATGAAATGATTTTTTGGAAAGTTTATAAAAATGTTTATAATAAATGATAAAATAAATAAACATAAACTATGCTGAAGGGTATATAAGATTCGGCACAGCCGAATATAGCATTATTACTTTTACATTCTTCTAGATCTGCGTTGAAAATTACAGTTGTTCAAAAACTAAAATCCGATTGTTAGCTAAAATATAATTTTTTTCTAGAAAATTAACTTTCTTTAAAATCACATTTAATTTGACAAAAAATATATTTTTACTAAGAAGTATTTTTCATTATAAAATCGAATTTTCAATAAAATTGTAACTAATATTTATAAAATATTATAATTTCACTATAAACTCGTTTTTCCTCAAAATTAAAAATTTCATTATAAATTCATATTAACATTTAAAGTTCACATAAATATATATATATTTCATTTTCAAATGAAATATTTTTTTGTAAATAACATTTTCTAAGAATTAAATTTTCTTTAAAATTTAAAAATTCAATTAATTGACTTTTAGGAAAAGATTTTTATGCAATTAGGTCAAATTCCCACTCACACTTATGTATATAAATGTTATATATTTTGCTACACACACACCAAGACAAAACGAGATAAATACAAATGCACAG